ATATTTATGTTTGTGGTTGTAATGTGACAAAATATGGAAAAGTTCAAGGGGTATGAATACTTTTGCAAACCACTGTATATATACACATACACACACACAGGATCTGAACACCTGTTTGTGTACAGTTGAGAGCATGCATGTACAAGATTTCTCTACTGGAATATTTAATAGTGACTGTGGAGACCCACAGACCCGACCCCCATGACCCCAAGCAGACATAAGGGTGACCAGACTAGAGCCAAAGACCCCGAGAAGGACTTCAAGCGCAGAGCCCCCAAAGGCACCAGCGCAGGGGAACCATCCGCCCACCCTCCAGAGAGGACCATAGGAGAGAGCCAGGAGAGCTCCCCAAGTGACCCCACGCACTTATCCCCTGGGGCCAGCACTGACGAACTCACAGGCACCCGCCAGCGCAGATCCAGGCATGGACACAGAAACCCGGGTCCTAAGGGTGCATCACCCCCAGGCCAAGGCCCGATAGGGCCAGGGGACCCAAGCCCCACCAGGAAGTCACCAGGCCGAGCCGGCCCATGCCCGAGCGCTCAGCCCCAGGCATAGAGAGCCACCAGCGCACTGGCGGGCAAAGGCACAACCCACCAGAGGGCCACTGGCCCGCTGCAGTGCTCCTCATAACAAACACACCCACAAACTCTGGACCTATCACACACTGAGAACCACAATGGTAAATGGTAAAAGGACTGTACTTATATAGCGCCTTTCTATCCATCCAGGACACTCAAAGAGCTTTACACTGCAGACATTCACCCATGCACACACACATTCACACACTGACGTGTGTCCCGTTGGCACAGTTCTGACTGGAGGCCATGCACAAGATGGCTGTCACCGGGGGGATAGCAGCTGGAGAACAGACTGAAGTTGCGCTATTCTTTTTTTCCTCAGCAGGGGGGAAAAAACGTGCGACTCGAAGTATAAACCAGGTTTTAAGAGGTCAGGGGTGTTAATTACAATCTGTCAAAATGACAGATGGCCTTCAGATTTTTCCATCATTGTGTAAAAAAACAGGTCAAATATGGAAAATATTCTGTTAAGGTGACCTCTGATTCAGACAACTCTCAGAACATATAACACACTAGACACCCAGGCTGAGTCGACCTACCCCCTCCCACGGGCCACTGGTTCCACCCCCAGCCAACCCCACCCCCCAGCGCACCAAAGGCCCCCAGCCTAGAGCCGAGCACCAGAGCACAAACTGGCCCATAGCCCCGGCAACCCGCCTGCCGGGGTCCAAGCCCCCCAGTCCCACTAGGACCACAGCCCGGGGGCGGAACGACACCCCCCCCCACACACACACACACACACACACATATCAAGAACCCACCCCTGCACAGACAGGTCACCGGGTCAGCGACCCGTGCTACAGACCACCTGAGGACCCACATGTAGCCACTGGAAGCCACTCACCCGAACCACCCAGGCCCTCCCCAGAGCAAGAGCCGCTGCCCCCCTGCCCAGGAACCACCAGCAGCCCAACCCCCGAGCCCCCCCACCCCTACATCATCCCCAGTGCCCCACAAGGCCAGATCCAAGGACCCCCCCACCCCCACTATGTGATTAAGCTGGTGTAATATAACATTTCAAACATTTAGACAAGTCTTCACAAACCCTGCCCCAGAACCTCTGAACAGGTGGACAGAACCACAGTGCATGAATGTAATTGTCAGGTATATTACCTGTACACTGTGAACAGGTGTCAGATAATGCAAATCCCATCTTGAACATTCGCTGACCTGTATAAATTTACTCTATAGAGGACTTTATATTGTATTAATTGTAAATTGGAGTTTCTAGTCATTTTAAACATTTTTAAGCATATTTGGGACTAGGTTTGAGTCATCTATTCCAGACAGTTTCTTATAAATTTTTGACAGCAATTTGGGGGATTTAAGATGAAAGAACTCGAAAACACTTGCTGGTGTTTCCAACAATGTTTTCTTGAACTTAAACTAATTGTTTATTATAGAAAATTTGTTCGTATTCTAAGAAATATTTCTTGTCAATGCCATATTGTATTATTAATTTATTAAGTAGAATAAAGTCTACACCTTCAAATATATGTCCCAAATGTTCAATTCCTCTACCTCTCCAACCTGGGAAGTTTAACATAGTTTTTTGTTGTAAGATGTCAGGATTGTTCCAGATGGGTGTTTGTCTACATGGGAGTAGTGAAGACTTTGTCATTTTCAGAAATTCCCACCACGCTGCCAGAGATGAGCTGATATTAATACTTTTAAAGCAAACATGTAGTTTAATGTTTATGCTAATGAATGGGAGATCTGAAATCCTAAAGTTATGGCATAATGTTTGCTCTATGTCTAGGATGATCATTTCAAACAACAAATGAACTGTTCCCTGTGTAGAATGAAGGGAACAGTTCAGACTCACCTAGGATTTCATCAAAGATTTTGTACAGTCCTGGAACATAGGTGATTTCCCTCTGATTCATCCCAACATCTTCATCAAACACCCACATTTGCTGAAAAAAGAAAAAAAAAACATAGGGGATTACAAAAGATGGCACTGTCAGGTGGAAAAACATGGTGTTTCTTAGCCCAGGTGTTTATTCAAACCACACAATTACACAATATGTTTTAGAAACCTATGCTGACATATGTAAAATATGTCTGACACACTGACCTACGCCGATGAAGGAATAAATAAAACATCGACTGGAAGCCTCTTTTGGACGTATACATACAATATTGCTAATGGGTTCAACAAATACAACCTAATATTGTGTCCTGGTAGGGGCACAGTATGAGATATATTTTTATCCTTCATCGTCTGTCATGTTTGCTACTGTTTTTCTTTAATGCAAAAGAGCAATGCCTCCCAATGGCTGCAGCCTCAAGCTAGGTTTATAGTTGACGTGACACGCCAGGCGCAAGGGAATTTTTGTAACTCCGCAAAGGCTGTGCGAGCCTCGCACTCTTCAAATAGTTTTGTTTGTCAAGCTTTGCTCTACTACTTACAACATTTTCACAAGTTAGAAAGTGCACTTCCACGTGTCCTTTTGGAGAAATCTACAGTAATGTGAGCGCCAAGTATAATGGTGCGTTTGATTTGTACTCGGAATTCAGAATTTCAAAGTTCTTAGTGTTATCACTAATAAGAAATTGCTGTTCTACAGTGTATGAATGCAGAAAAATGAATGCTTATTGAGGTTGCTGTTAGTGAGTAGATACCGATTACAGAAACAAAAAAATGACAAAATCATTGGTTTTTTTTTTTTTTTTTTTTTTGTTAAGCTGGGACACTTGCTGGATCTGACGATAAAACCTACGATTTCCGAGGTAAATGGAGCACAGCATAACGGGGGTTTCCCCTACATGTAATTGATCATGGCGCACTGCCACGGCTAAATAAAAGCCGCCACACCTTCGGAATGAAGGGTTTGTTTTTTCCAATCAACGTAAAACGGATTGACACAATCATGTCCGAGACACCCTATTTTCGTTTTGGACAACTAGATCCCGCCTCCCGGTTGTCCGGTGGAAAACCAAGAAAAAAAGACCTCGATTAAAGTTTTCCTCCGCGGGTGTTCGACATTGTAAAAATAAAAGAAAGAAAAAAAACTTGTTAAAGCTGTCCATCTAGGGACGTCTACTGTCTAAGTGACGGTTCATATCTTCTAATATCTTCTAATAGGCTCGACACACAGGGAGCGACAAACCACAGCGATTAACGGCTGTCATCGCAGTCAGGGTTAAACCCGACACACGGGACGCGATAGCGACGGCAGCGTTGCAAATTGCGCTCTCAGGTTGCTTGTCTTCACGAAATTTGATTGGTTCTTCTACTGCCTCTTGTAAAGGTTATTGGTGGTTCATAAAAAGTGGGGTGTGCATTACGGACGAGTAAACTAAACAAATCTTGCGATGCTAATGATATTGAAAAACAAATGCATGCTAAGATATGATTTTATGAGGTAAAACTTACCATAAACTTCACCCTGGTGCCAATAAATTCCCACAAAGCTTTTTAATAATCACTTGGTGAAAG